TACACGAAATAGGGTGAATAGATCTTATATTACTGATTTACTGATAGTCTCGAAATCCTACTCTTATACGAATATTCATATCTAGAGTTTGCATAGTTTAATTGACTCTTAAACAACTAAAAAGCACGATTCGGGATTGCGTTGCAGAATCTCATTACAGGTGATTGGGTTCAGGAAATATAATGATCAGACTTCTCAGCACTAACTGCAAACACAAGCTAAGAAATGAAATACATTAGGCGAATAAGCCAGAGTCTGGCGTGGAAGACGCTTGCCTAGAATTGTGCCAGACAAAACTTACAGGAAAGAATAGAAGACCGCAATTGGCCAGCACCAAAATAGCCGAAGCCCGTTTGAAGGCGAAGTGTTGCGTTATGTCATACATCAGGCACTTGAAGTGGACCAAATGGCCTTCCAGTGTACTGGTGACCGGTGTATATGGGGTTTGGCCCGGTTCCTGACGTAACTCTATTTAATAATAAATAAAAAGATGTTAATAAATAACCTTACGTACTTTGAGTACTGTCAGAATAAGGTGGTTGAGCGATCAATGTTTGTTTCAGATAAGCCTCCTCACTACAGGTTTTTGAGGGCAATTCCAGATGACTAAGAATGGACAGTCTCTGCAAGCACTAGAAGTAAAGATAGTGGTAATATAGCTAATGGGGCATTTTCTCAAGAAGTTCACGAGAAATAGGCCAATATGGGCTACATTTGAACCTATAAAAGCTATAAAAATTTATGTAAAATTCCTTAGATTACGCCTCAACATATTTTAATGCGAAGAGGAAAATATTAAGTGAAGCCTGCTATTACAAGCGTTTGCTTGGATAGCCAAAAATCGTATCTTCATAGTTGTGCTTTCTAATGGCATTTACGATATAGTATGTCTAGGTCTTTACGCCCTAACTGTGTGACGTTTGTGATATCACATTGAACTATCTTGACCGTAACTCAAACTGTCCACATTTTTAAGGCAGAAGCAATAAAGGCGTCTTACCAAAGTTGACTGCTCTGAGTGAGCAGACGGGGAAGAGGAACAAAAAAAGAAGATGTAAATTTTCCGAAATATCAGTCAGCTCACTTGGTCGAGGAGGTATGTGCAATGGCTGCGTTAGCTTAATTCGGCCCTTCAAGTCGAGCCAGCGCCTTTGGTCCACAGTCAGCAATGCTGTGCCCTGAAAAATAACAAATCTGGGTTAAACACATGCCTTGATTCATGTGTTAAAATAGTTAAATTAACGCATACCAGGCCAAAACCAGACCTTTAATAAGGGTGAGTGAAAAGAGTATAGAAGCTAAGATGAACTGTGTTCACCTTAGTCTGGTAATGTGATGAAGGACTGATAGTTGAATTTTCCCACAAACCAGTGAGTAGGTTTCGCGACGCCTTTGAATTTCCCTTTGCCTTGCCTCCAGAAAGTTATTCACGTCAGAGGTAGAAAATCGTTTCACACTCGATTGGGTCTCATCAACGTCCTCAACAGAAATCGAACCATTACAGTTATATGTGTTGAGTTAACATTTTAATTGTATATATAATTGCCATATATTATTATCATCTATAATAACTATTACCTATTAATTAATTAATTATAATAAGTAATAATAATATATATTAATTATAATAAATACATAGATATCAAATATTTTATTGGTTTAAATATATTTATTATGTATAATTCTAGCACGTCACATTTCCACAAGTGCCAACGGGTCAATGGCAGAGGTGACCTCCAGGTCAAACCAGGCCTATTTTGTATAGTCGACTAAGCACATTTTTACAAGAAATTACGATAGATCCCAATATTATACTCGTATTAAATACGTTTCGATACCATTGATAGCCCATGAATAGGAATTATATTTATCCCAGTTCTCATAATGTGATGAAGTTATGATACTCAATAAAAATATAAGTAGTACCGTTGATTGTAATTGGAATTATAAATCTGCTCAGTGCAACTCCTAATATAAGATACGAAGAGAAACTTTGTCTCGATAAATCAATACATAGTACTGTCGTGGTTTTATCGAGCCGGCTTTGTCTAACCTTGATGTTTCGAGAACCTCCAAGGGATGCTTTTGTACCTAAACTAAAGTAAATTGGCATTTGTGATGCTGCATATAATTCTCATTATATGAGTACTAATGTTATAAACGATAAAATATTCCACGTGACAGTAGTTATTATGGTATACTAAATAGCACAATTTTATAAAACTCAATGCCGGTGACATCTGTGAACCGTAATCTAGTTTCGATTTGTCTGAATGATCAGAAATCCAATTCATTTAACAAATTTAATCATCTTTATTCCCAGCTTGATCTAAATAAAGCTAAATGTGTTTTACCTCTTAGCCTATCTCTGCAGTCACCCACTTTATTTGTCACTAATCAGCTGTGTTACAAAGATATACCAACATGCTTTGTAGCAGGTATATGCTTCGGTCCCAAAGTGTACTTTTCTCCTGCACTCCTCGACCTACCTGAAGAATACAAATTTTATAGAATTGGCTTTTAGGACAGGTATTGTCATAATTTCCAATTTGGCTGTGGGCCAATCGGTGTAACAGTTTGGAACTGCTTTTACTGCCAAATTTAAATGCAGCGTCTTTACTCCTTTCCACAAACACAGCTGTCATATCAGGATTCCTAAGGTAAACTTTTGGCAAATATATTTGTTCTTCTCTCCATCATTCCGTGAATATATTCGACATAAAAGGACATCAATATCATAAAGAATCTCATGGCAATAAGCTCTTTGCCCTGGCTTGTTTTTCAAACGACGCTATGCACTTTGAATCTGTTGGAATATGCTGCTTAGTACAAACCAAATTTAGGATAGAATTTTCACGCTTATGTGATCCAACTACA